GATTGAGGTTGTTAATGATTTTATCTTGCTTGGATCAACAATCATCACCCTTGGTACCAGCAGTCTGAAAATCAGGAGATGTCAGCTGTCAGAGACCTCTCCAAAACATTTAAGAGCAAAGTCAGTGTGAAGACTAAGGAGTGCTTGATTCAAGCCTCAGTCTTCTCAGTCACCTGTTACACATCATAGAGCTGGACAATGAACCAGGAATGCCAGAAGCACTGATGCTTTTGAGTTGTGGTGCCCGAGAGAATATCCCATGGACTGCAAAAAGAACAAAGAGCTACATCTTAGAGTAGGTGCAGTCAGAGTTCTCCTTGGAGGGAAAGATGGCGAAGCTGCACCTCATATTTTGGACCTGTAGCTAGGTGTGGCTATACTTTGAAAAGGGACATTATGCTTGGAAAGGTGGAGGGTCAGCGGAAGACAGGAAGGCACCCAACGAATGTCAGAGATTACAGGAACAGCAAGGTAGGGTAGGGTTCAGGTTTGTTGCTCACAGGGTCGTTAAGAGTCAGACTCGACTTAATGGCATCTAACAACAGGGCATTATGGGTCCAGGGTGGTGAAAACAATTAAGCACTCTATTACTCCTCAAAGTTGGGGTTTCCAACCTATTGAAAGTGACGTAGGAAGAAAGGACTGGTGATCTGCTCCTTAATGGTCACAGTCATGCAATCCCTTGGATGTGTGCACTTCAGTACTGGGACAACTATGGGGGTAGATAGGGAACTTCTCGAAGTTCAAACAGGGTTTAAAAGAGGCCGTGGCACCAGATACATCATTGCTGATGTCAGGTGGATCCTGGCTGACAGTAAAGAATACTAGAAGAATGTCTATTTGCGTTTTATTAATTATGCAAAGGCATTTGACCGTGTGGAACATAACAAGTTATGGCTGACATTAAGGTGAATGGGAATCCTAGAAAACTTGATTGTGCTCAGGAGGAACCTATACCTGGACCAGGAGGCTGTTGTACAAACAGAGCGGGGAACACCATTACATTGTTTGGACTGGGAAAGGTGTATGCCAGGTCCGTATTCTCTGTCCATACCTAGTCCATCCATATGCTGAGCAAATTATCTGAGAAGCTGGACTCTATGACACTGGGATTGGAGGGAGACTCATCAATAACCTGCGTTATGCAGATGACACAACCTTGCCTGCTGAAAGTGAGGAGGACTTGAAGCACTTGTTGCAGAAGTTCAAGGAATGCAGCTTTTGGTATGGATTGCATTTCAATATCAAGAAAACAAAGATTCTTACTCAAAAGGCATCATCATGATGGATGGAGACTGAAATTGTCAACGGCTTCATTCTGCTTTGATCCACAATTAACACCCTTGTTATCAGCAGTCAAGAAATAAGGAGATGTATACTGCCCTGAGAAAATCATCCCTTACGGACCTTTCCAAACGACTGAGGAGAAATGATGTCAGTTTGAGGACTAAGGTGTGTCTGATTCAGGCTATAGTCTTTTCAATCCCTTCCTATGCATCTGAGAGCTGTACAATCAATAAGGACGGCAGGGAAATAATCAATGCCTTTGAGCTGTGATGTTGGAGAAGAGCACTGAACGTCCCATGGACAGTCAAGAGAACAAACAGCTGTCTCAGAGAGAGAGGGTGCAGCCAAAGTGCTCTTTGGAGGCAAGAATGATGAGGCTTCGCCTCCTCACATTACTTTCGATATGTTGCTAGGAGGTGTTCTTCCTTGGAGAAAGACATGATGCGGGTAAGGTGGACTGACATGGTGACGGCTGCAATGGGCTCTTGTGTGTTATTAAGTATGAGGATGGCACAGGACAGAACAGGGTTCAGAACTTTTGTTCACAGGGTGGTTATGAGTTGTACTCGACTCAACGGCAGGTAACAACAGGAACTTGAGGAACCGAGGTAGCTTTCTTTGTTTTTGTTAGTGCAACACCTGCTTTGCTTGACAGCTGAGTTGAAATGGATTAAACTGGTTAGGGCAGTTTGAGGGGGTTGAGAGGGGACTTTGCTGCAAGTTACAGGCTGCTGTGTGGCACACGTCCAAGAGCTCCTTTGGTTCAGAAATAAATGCCACCCCCTTTTTTTAACATTTTGTCCATTATTTTGTCCTTGGAACAATGCAAGGGACATGACTTGAGTCAGTGCATACTGGCACTATCTTAGGTACTTACTTAAACGTCACCCCAACAACCCTAACCGAACAGCTTCCGTATATTAATGTGGAGTGAGCACTGGTGGCCTAGTGCAAAGAAGCTGCGCTGCAAGCCCGAAGGCACGCGGTTCAAGTCCATCAGATGCTTAGTGGAAGAAAAAGATGGGCAATTTCTTCCGCACAATTAACTGCCTCTGAAAACCTTCAGGAGTGTCAGCTGTGGGTTAGTTCCGACTCCAGGGTACACAACAACATACTAATGTGGAGGAGTGCGACCTCAGATTATTTAGCGTTGTACAACTGGGAAGAGGAGGTAGAAGTTACACCCAAGCCTCCTTTCAAGGCCTTAAGGACACAAGGTTCAATATGCTATGAAATGGCATTCCTGTCGTAAGGTTTTATGCAATAGTAAAGTAAAAGAAACGTTTTTGTTCTTTAGGTTGACAAAGGGCTGGAATTATGTTCCCAAATCTTTGTTGAGGGTCGGGTAACAGCTCTTTGGAAACAGAAGCGCAGAAACCCAGTCATCTGTTCCCTGTTCTGTTGGAGATCATGGATTGAAACATTTTGCTCAGTTCCATTCCAAAGTAAGGCATCCTGACCTTCCCACAGGCTCGTGAGACTGGAGTCTCAGGGAATGTTCCCAACAGGTAGAGGCGGATCGGGGGCGTCAAATCCAGCCCAGGCCTCCCCAAGCTGGAACGGGCAAGTTTCCAGCGAAATGTGCAGAGCTGAAAGCTTCGTTCCAAACGCTGCCCAAAAAAGGCTCGGTGAGAGAAGCGCTGCAACCCCCCACCTCAGCCAACAAGCTCCTCCAGCGGCCGTCTTCCAGCACCCGAGCTCCAAAAACAGCAACCGCGGCCTCGTAGGCGCCTTTTAAAAAACCAAACCTTCTCTAACACACAGGCGAGGAGGGCAATTAACAATATAAACTGCAGCGGGGGCTTCAGCAGGCAGGCCCGTGAGTGCAAGGTGCTGGCTAAGGGGGGAACCCCGTGACCTCAAGCGCCCTCGGCTGCCGCTCCGGTGGGCGCAGACGTGGGGAGGGCGCTCCGAAACCCTCTCCCTCTCCCTCCCCCACCCTCTCCACCCGCTTCCGCCTCCCAGGCCGCGGCGGGACAATGAGCGGCCTCTTTCCGCTGGGGTTAGGGAGGGGACTTGGCCGGATTAGGTCGCGCGCCTTCCGGCCGCAGCGCCCCCTCCCCTCGCGCCGGGGAGCGCCGCGTCGGCCGCACACAGGTGGTTTTCCGCTCGCGAGGGCCGGGCCTGGGCACTTTTATATAACAATAGCGCTCTGCGCGCCCGGAACGCGCCCCTTCGCCGCCGCGGCCCCCGCCCGGCCACGCCTCCATCCGGCTTCCCGCCCCGCCCCGCGGCGCCTCCGCCGGATCGGCAGCGCCCCAAGTTACCTGCTGGCTAGACAGAGCGGCAGAGATGTTCCCTGCGGCTCCTTGCCCTCCTCCGGAGCCAGAGAGTCCCGGCCAGCACTCCTGCTAGGTCACCCCCCCTCCCCCTCCTGTCCGCTCAATTTTAGGCCACTGCGGAAACCAGAGGACAGTGCTTGGCACCGCACCCTACCGAGAGGGTGCGCAACACCCCACCGAGAGGGTGCGCAACACCCCGTGCCCACCAAGCGTGGAGGTGGAGCAAGCTCGGTGGCGAGGATCGCAGCGCGCAAGCGCGGTCAGTGCACAGCGTGTGCCCCGTGCTGCGCGGGGGTTGGGGGGGTTGCCCCACGCAGGAAAGGGGGACCCGCTTGGGTGGGAGACAGCTCCAGGCAAGGTGGGGGCTGCGGCCTGGCGAGGGGTGAAACTTCAGTGTGACTTCTTTTGTACAGAAGGCAGTTGTGAATCCCACCAGCTGACCCCCCGCAGCTTGCAAGCCTTTTGAGAGGACTTGCGTCTCACCTAGCTGATAGCAGGCACACAGCCAGCCTGGCCCTGTGTGCCCTCGCCAAAATGGATCCTCGGGGGCAGCCGAGTTTTTCCTCTACAAATGATTAACGAGCTCGACCCCCGCTCAGTCCCAGTGTGCGGTGGGGATTGATTTAGACCCCAGAACCATGGTTGCTAACCGCCCCTCACCCTGGCCGCTGGAGAAGCTTCACGTTGCCCAATAAATTTGCTTCTGCAGGCTTCATTGCTTAAATATATGACACCTCTTTTAAAAAGCTTTATTCTACTTGTTTGGACAAGCAGGCATTTGTTTGTTTGCTTGCTTGAAAATGTTTCAACCAAGTCCTGATTTGTTTCACAAAAAGGTTGGATTAGCATTTAACACTCCATCGGGCACTAAAGCCCAGGCAGTTCACCAGTCCCAACACAGCGTAGGTTAAAAGACCATCAAGCAAACAGAGCTGGGTTCTTTAAACTGGCAAATAAATGCCACACTGCCTTAAAGGAGGGCGGGGGTCAAGCCAAGCTCGGGGCCAAAAGAATTTGAAGGGAATAAAGTGGGAGAAGTCAGCTCCGCAAAACAGGCGTCTGGAACAAGGGCCTTTGTGCCTGCTAATTGCACCATTTGTGCGCAAAAGTTCCGAAGCGAAGTGTGAACTCGCAACAAAAGGAAACATGAGACAACTGAAGTGCCCTGGTTTATGTGCCCCGCTCCTCCTCCGCCGCCGCCTCCTCTTCTTTCTCCTTCCTCCCGCGGAGCCCGCTGTTGCAGCTTGTTTGCACTGGGGCTTATCCGGAGCGGAAATTCCTTTCCGTTTTTGTGAATGACAAACTCATTAACAATTCATCAACACAACCTGTTCCAGCCGGCCCGTCCCCACGGCAACAGCCACTTCCGCAGCGCGCTCATTGGCTGGCTCGGAGAATGTATCCATTGAGGCGCTCGCTGTTTGTATCCATTGAGGAGCTGTCTTGCGCAGGGGGTGTGCGAAGGCAGAGACCCAGAGACTGCGAGCAGATCGAGGTTTGAATAATCCGAGGAGAAAACCGCCTGGGTGGATCTGAGGTGCAGTCCTGGATTAGGAGCTGCTGGGCTTTTTCTCCTTTCCGTTTCAGTAGCTCGGAGTCCGAATTAATTGGATTTCATTCATTAAGGAGGAACAAAACTGGGTAGCTCCATTCAGAGATCCTTTGACATCAAGAACGGCTGCAGCCCAGTGCGGAGGGAACGACTGGCTTCACTTCTGTCTCGCCTTCCCCAGCCGCTAACTCCGGTTTGGGAAAGGAGAGGCGGAATCAGACTGTGCGCTCGCAGCAGCGGCGGAACTGCGCGCCGTGCTCAGCCTATGCCTGCCCGCAGGGGCGTCTGGTAGGCACCCGCCTTCGCCCGCAGCTCGACCCCCATGATAGATACGCTCAGACCCGTGCCCTTCGCGTCGGAAATGGCGATCAGCAAGACTGTGGCGTGGCTCAACGAGCAGCTCGAGCTGGGCAACGAGCGGTTGCTACTGATGGACTGCCGACCCCAGGAACTGTACGAGTCGTCGCACATCGAGTCGGCCATCAACGTGGCCATCCCGGGCATCATGCTGCGGCGCCTGCAGAAGGGTAATCTGCCGGTGCGCGCGCTCTTTACGCGCGGCGAGGACCGGGATCGCTTTACCCGGCGCTGCGGCACCGACACCGTGGTCCTCTACGACGAGAGCAGCAGCGACTGGAACGAGAACACGGGTGGCGAGTCGGTGCTCGGGCTGTTGCTGAAGAAGCTCAAGGACGAGGGCTGCCGGGCGTTCTACCTGGAAGGTACGTTCCCGAGCGGTGGGTGCGGGGCCGCGGGCTGCGGGCTGCGGGCGGGACGCGCGGATTGGAAATGTCCCTGCTGCACTCAGCTGCTGACTGGTGCCGCGAACCGCGTGCGTTTGGCATCCTTGAGAGAGGAGCTGGCGCTGGAGCCACTGCTTCCGGCCACTGGCGGGGGCCCGTTTCTATGAAATGAATTCTCTAGCATCCAACCCGCAACATTCATCTCCCATTACTGATTCTCTGTCGCTCGATTTTGAATTGAACTGTGCAAAACCAGAGAGGTCTTTTGGGTGCAAATAGGGTGCTATGGTTAGCTTTTTAAATACTACAGAAGTTGCCTTGTGTATTTCGTGATTCAGAAGAATAAGGAATCCCGGCGGGGGTGGGGGGCGGGAAGGGCAGGTAGGCCGAACGCCTGAGGGTGCACATTCAAGTCTTTTGGTTTTGGGGTTTTTTTTTTTCTCTCCCTGTTTGGTTAAGTGTACAGGGGAGTGAGGTAGGGGAGTGGGTTTAGGGTGCTCGAGGTATTTCCTGCGCCTGACAAGCTGTGAAAACTACTACGGGCTCTCGGGTTACACTCTTGCTTTTCTCGCCCTCGCAGGTGGTTTCAGTAAGTTCCAAGCCGAGTTCGCCCTGCACTGCGAGACCAATCTAGACGGCTCGTGTAGCAGCAGCTCGCCGCCTCTGCCAGTGCTGGGGCTTGGTGGTCTGCGGATCAGCTCCGACTCCTCCTCGGACATTGAGTCTGACCTTGACCGAGACCCCAACAGTGCCACGGACTCGGACGGCAGCCCGCTCTCCAACAGCCAGCCTTCCTTCCCCGTGGAGATCCTGCCCTTCCTGTACCTGGGCTGCGCCAAGGACTCCACCAACCTGGACGTGTTGGAGGAGTTCGGCATCAAGTACATCCTGAATGTCACCCCCAATTTGCCGAATCTCTTTGAAAACGCAGGGGAGTTTAAATACAAGCAGATCCCCATTTCGGATCACTGGAGCCAAAACCTGTCCCAGTTTTTTCCAGAGGCCATTTCTTTCATAGGTGAGCCTAATTAATAATGCTCCGTTCCTCTGACTTTTAAATGCAAAACTCCCAGCCATTCATGGAGTGTAAGCTTTTAATCGTTTTTGCTGTTTGCTAATTTGTCCGACTGCAGGTCTCTTACCAGTCTCTCTGGTTCAGTGTGTTCTTAGTGCTGGCTGATTTTTTTTCTTGCTAAGAAAAGTGCCTCTTTGACATGGTTACACACCATGAATGTAATTGAAATAGCTGTCTGCTCCTCGAATTTTTTAATTCAGTCATTTGAAAGGGAAAGGTTGAAACTCAGAAACCATTTTCTGCGTAGAAATACTCTCTCCAGAGAGGAATTCTAGCATTACTTGAGCCTTTTAAGATGATCTGGGAGTTGTTTTAGGACATCAAGTTAATTGTTGGAAAGAGGTTGAATGCTAAATGTCCGTTTGAATGTGATACCGGTAACAGTGAGAGGGTGCCTGTAACCTGAACCCAGCAGGAAGAACTGTGGTCTGGAAGCCTGAGAGAAGTGAATCTCCAGGCATTGTAATGCATTTCCTATTACAAAGGAACTCATTTTCAGGCCATGTCGACATCCTGTTCCTCCTAATGGGCTGTCCCCTGTGACTTCCCTCTCTCTTTTAAAATGCCTGAATACCTCCATTGTTAGCTACACAACAGTTGGAGAATAATTTAATAGACCCTTGCCATCGGCTTGTCTGTATAAAAAGCATTCACAACCATATTGCAGGGTTTCTGGTATTCACATGCTGGGGCTAAGAATGCACACATTAAGGAGTTTTGTTGTTGGCAGAAACTTAATACAAAAGCTCCCTTTTCAGAAAATATCTGAAATATGTAATTGTGCCCCAGTGTCCGTGGTCCGTGTCTCAATGATTCATTTTTTATGCTGCCCGCTAGTCTCAGCTGCCACACACGATACTTTTCTCATTTCATTTTCTTTCTTCTTAAAAGTTCATTGTTTAGACTGATCATTCACAAAAGGTGGTTTCGGTTGACTAAAAGCTTGCTTTCTTTTTGTGTGTTCACAGATGAAGCCCGGGGCAAAAACTGTGGTGTCTTGGTGCACTGCTTGGCTGGCATCAGCCGCTCCGTCACTGTGACGGTGGCTTACCTGATGCAGAAGCTCAATCTGTCAATGAACGATGCTTATGACATTGTCAAGATGAAGAAATCCAACATCTCCCCCAACTTCAACTTCATGGGCCAGCTGCTGGACTTCGAGAGGACGCTGGGACTGAGCAGCCCCTGTGACAACCGGGTTCCAGCCCAGCAGCTGTATTTCACCACCCCTTCCAACCAGAATGTCTACCAGGTGGACTCTCTGCAATCCACGTGAAGGGGCCCCACGTCCCTCCTCGCTGGGATGTGGCCATTCCTTCCGCAGTTTCTCTTGGGCAGCGCCAGCTAGGCTGCTTTGTTTGTGTGTGGCCCCCCAGGTGTCAGAATGGCACCAACTGTCTGTATTAGACAAGGTTACCAAGTATGGAAATTAGTTAATACAAAGGGAGAGATTTGCTTCATTTCCTTTGGAAGGACAGGACACACTGTATAGATACAGACAGTACCTTTGCTCTGTGCCCAGGTGTACAGCCTACCCATGCAGGGACTGGAATTTGAGGACTTCCAGATATATAGGGTAGGACCAAATGGTAGGGTAAAAGAGCATGTGTTCTTTAGGGCCTGCCTCGTGTGGCTGTTCCCTTTGCATCTGGAACTGATTATATTTTGTCTTCAATGAAGACTGGTTCAATTTTGCATATAGAGGAGCCAAAGAGAGGTTTCAGCTCTGTATTTGTGGAATTAGTTTGCAAAAAAGAAGAAAAAAATCAGATACTACATTTGATTATTTGTAAATATTTGATCTTCAATCACTTGACAGTGTTTGTTTGTGTTTTGGGGGTTTTTGTTTTCTTTGATGGGTTTAAAGAAATCATCCAAAGGGAGAAAGAGCAGTATGCCACTTCTTAAACAATTTTTCTCTCTTCTAATCCAAAGGGTATATTTGCAGCATGCTCACCTTTACTGTGCCCACTCTGAATGGCGTTTTCATGAACAATATTATCACTAAGACCTTGTTATGGTGCAGTCTTTTAGTCTCTTTCATGTATCTTCCTTAAGACTTTTCTCCACCCCTTTAATGTAGTTTTGACTATGCCTTACCTTTGTATATATTTTGGCTGCGTTGTCTCGAAGGGGATATCTTGGAAAGTCACCAAAACCATGGGTTTTGTTTTTTTTTTTAAACAAACTTCAGCTGTGCTAAACAGCATATTACCTCTGTACAAAATTCTTCAGGGAGTGTCACCTCAAATGCAATATTTTGAGTTGGTTTCTTTCCTTTTTTAGAAAAGAATTTGTATAAAACTGGAAGTGTGTGTGAGAGCATGGGTACCCAGTTGACAAGTGAAATGCATACGATTGTGAAGAAGGGAGAATTGAATCGCTCCACTATGTTCGTGGTGTAGTTTTGAGCTGGAATTTATTATAAGAATGTAAAACCTTAAATTATTAATAAATAACTATTTTGGCTATTGAATGTACATTTTTCATCTCTCCTTACTTATACCAACATGTCAAGTGATAACAGAAATTTTTCAGTGGGGAGACTTGTAAAGCACATGGTAGGAGACAGCAGGGCAAAGTTCTGATTTGTTAAAGCTACCCCTAGACTCCTTTCAAAGGGACTCAGAATAAGTGTTACAGTCTTTTGCTTTAAATAAATATAGCCATAGTACATCTATGTATATGGAGAATAGGTTTTTTTGTGGCTAGAATTGCAACTTGCTTATGGAAATTATAACTTCTATACCTCATGCTGTTGAATCATTTCCAACGCAAAGTGACCCTCTAAGGACAGGGTAGAACAACTCTGCGGGGTCTCTAAGGCAGTAATCCACAGAAGCAGATTATCTTTGTTCCAGAAGGTGGCTGAAACTGCTAAGCTCTTGGGGGTGATGCTAAACAACCACATAACCACTATGAAAATGGCAGTGACCCTAACAGCAGAGCCACAGAACACACTTCACCAAGGTATAAAGTTCATGAATGGGAGTACAGAGGGGCACTGAAATGACAATTCCTGGGTGACACGTAACTGCTAGCTCAGGGGTAGACAAGGGTGGCATGGGAGGCAGACCTAGTGGTTCTGCTTTGCACACAGGGTGGCTGCTGAGTTGAAATTGAAGGCAACTGACAACAATCACACTTTCTTCCTTGTCAGTCTTTTTAAAAGGCTCGGAAATACCAGAGGAAGAGTAGGGAACAACTCTTCAGTCTTTTCATTGGGAATGCTGCCTGTAAGTTAACTTTGTGTTGGAATCACCAATCAAGAATGACGTCTTTGTCCTCTCCATGATACCTTCACAAGGCATATATATATAAGCTTTCTAGCTGAGGCTGAACATGGCTTTAAAATCCCAACATCGACTCTTAAGAGACTTGTCATCTATCCTGTTCTAATGTACTTGGTGCTTAACTGGCTTTAGAACAGTGGACCTGAAACTCCTCTTAAGCTTGATAAAGAGGTTACCTGGAACAGCTTCTTACAAGATAAAGGCTTACTAGCCTGTGCTTTTCCTTGGGACCTCTTTATTCCTTACCCTGCATAGAAAAGTATCCAAGTAAGAACAAAGGTAAAGGGCAGGTGTATGGAGTCAAAAGAACCACCGCTTGTTTCACCCACAGTTTAGGCAGTTTTCCCCAAGAAGCTTTCAGCTGAGACAGAAAAGTGAACTTTTTAACCCACATGGCACATGTGAAGTGTTAGGTGGATTGTTGAGTAATCTAACTTTTAAGGGGAAAGTGCCCCTTGTGTTACGGCAATAGTAGCACAATAGTAGCACAACGTCTGGTGTGATTCTTAGCAACTACGGGTGTATAGGCATCCTGCCAGCACAGTGGTTACTCTGTTAACTGAAAAAGCGGCTGTTCGAGGCCCCCTTCCTCAGGGGAGAAAATGTAGCAGTCAGTTTTTGTGACGACTTGCAGTTTGGAGACCTTAGGGGTGTAGTTTTACTCTCCCCTAAACTTGCTGTGAGTGGGTTTGGTTTAGTTTGGGTTTAAGTATGTCTAAAAGGCAAACAGCAGAAAAAGACCAAGTCAGGCTCTCCTATTTAGGTGCCCCAAGTCAGCAGGAACTTAAAAAGGAGAAGTGGGTTGCCATTCGACTTGGCTCCTGTTAATCCAGTTCTGAGCGGTTTCCGCTCCTGACATTCCCTAAAACTGCCTGTTCAAAGTCGGGATTTGCAAGCAGTGTTAGCAATTTCCTGTCCAGCTGCAGCTCAAGGAGCTAAATGCTTCCCCTCCTCCCCGTTCTTTTTCTTTCTTCTCTCTCTCTTTTTAAAATATGGACACTGGATCATTTTAGTGCATTTCCTTTCTGTGGATTATCATCTCCTTTCCTCCTCGAACTAGCACACACCAAGTTCCTGGGGCTGGGCGCAAACCGACAGCTGGCCTCCTCAGCACTTCCTCTCGTTTCACTGTGGGTTTGTTGTTTGTCAGTCCACTTCTGAAATTAATAATGTTTTCTGGCCAAGCGCCATGAGCCATTACCACAAAGGGGAAGTAACACATATGAATAGCAGGAAGCCATGCAGGGTCACAGTGGGAGCCGAACCTGTGGAGGGGGCATAATTGATCCTGGCCCATTCAGCTAGTGTCTGACTAGCGATTTGGGGGGAAGGGGGAGAGAGCTTGTTGCATTTAAGCAGCTCATGCTGTGGGGGCAAAAAAAAAAGTTTCCAATAAAATGGTGGCAAATGGTCTTTGTGACCAGCTCAATAAAAGGGAGCGAGAAGAGTTTGGGACCCCATAAAGTTGCCACATTTGAGGGTCCCCTCCTCCTGGTATATTGTTTCATAAGGCTGGTGAACGGAGGGGTGCCTGCTTCTCTCCATTGTCACAAAAGAGCTTATGTTAAATGGGTGGTTTTTACTGTTCACATAGGCCAGAAGATTCAAAGGGCTATTCTCTGGCTTTTTCTTTCTTCTCTGGAAGGTGGAAGGTTGTAATGGACAGTGTGGGCCCCCACCTCACCCTGGGCCTCCCTTTTCTCTTGGCCAATCTACTTCTCCTGCTCCTCTGGTCCCTTTGTGCTTGCAGAAGCTGCGTGAAGGCGATCATTTTGCATCTTGGAGTTGGGCTCCTCTTCTGAATGGAGGCTGCTCGGTTACTAGGGCAACCTTTGCCAGCAGCTGCAGCTCCCCAGCCTCCCTCCTCACCTGCTGTCCCCATTAGTGGCTTCCTCAGGTCTTGGAGAAAGCATTACCTTTCCTGGCCTTCCGTAGGGGGCTGAGGGGCTTTTCAGGAGATAGGTTGTCTGCTGGTTTTGGTCCAAGGGGGGAGGGGGATTTAGGGAATGTGCTGGTTAATGGTATGAAAGGCTTTAGGATTAAAACTGGAACTAGAAAAGGTGATCTGGGCATAGAAATACCAACAGCCTTCAAAGGAGTGTGAACTCTTCACAGAACTAATTTTGCTCTGTATTGAGAGGATCTGAACTCAATATCACTAATGAATTGGGTGGCTCTGGGCAAGGAGTCATTTTAGTGGCTTTCCTTATTTTCCTCATCTCCAAATTGAGAAAGTGTTTACCTCTCATTATAGGACTCTCATAACTTAACCTGGAGTTGAGGTCCCTGAGTACTGTAAATGCTTTGGTGCTTGATTATGTTGTTCTTGTTGTGGACTTTCCAGTTGGAACTGACCCATCCATAGCTGACTCTCCAGCATGTTTTCAAAGGCAGTAAATTGCACTGAATTTACTCATCTTTCTCTTAAGGAGAAACTGGTGAATTTGAACCATGTACCTTGGTGTTGCCGGCATAATTCCTTACCACGAAGCCACCAGAGAGCTCCCTAAGTGCTACATTACTAACTGAAAAGTTGCAAGTTTGAGCCTACCCAAAGGCTTAGAAACCTGCTTTTGACAGGTTGTGGGAAGGAGCGCACACCAGGTCACCCTGAGTCAGAGTTGGCTCTAAGGCAACTGATTAGGCTGCTTGTTTGATTTTTGGTGGTTGTTATTATGAATTGCCTATTAAATGATGACATGAGGTACAGAGCAAGTAAAAAATAGTAACAGGAAAAAATGATGAACATTTATCAAGGGCAGTCAGTACTTGTTTCATGTATAATATCTAATTATCAAAACAGCTCTGTGAGGTAATCCCTACTATTATTGTTTTTCAATGAGAAAACTGAGACAGAGGAGACCTCTTTATCTCTTCTGTTGTTGCATGGGAAGCTGGAACCGACGCATAGCTGAGCTGACCCTCCAGTGGGTTTTCAGAGGCAGTAAATCATACTGGAGGAGATTTCCCATCTTCTTCGCACAGAACAGTTGGTGGATTTGAACCACATGCCTTTGGGATAGCAGCATAGCTACTATCATGTGATAGTGGAAGTGGTAGAAGTGAGCTTTGAACTCAGATGTTCTGGGTCCCGAGTGTAAGCTGATAAATCACCAATGGGGAAGAAAATCCAAACCACTCCAGTTCTGATGCCTTTAGCTCTTCCGGGTGTAAACTGCTTGTCATCATTATTTGCTCCTCTTTAGAAAACCCTGTGATGTTGGCTAGGAAGCGGAGGAAGCAGAGGTTAAGTGACCTGCCAAAACAAACCCACATTCATCAGCCAAATCATGAGAGAACCAAAGGGCCCCAACTGGTATACGGCCAGATAAGTGTCCTCTCTCTGGAAGCTTCTATCATCTTTCTCCACAAAGAGGTTGCCCTACCATGGGCCCACAAGCACATAAATTATAAAACTAATTTTCCTGTAGATCTCTAGAACAGTGAACAGCTGTCCAGTCTGGCCCTGACCCTTGTCTGCACTTTCCTCTCAACAAAGATTTTCACTTCCTCTTCTCTTGCTCTCTCGCTCTCTAAGGGGGCAGGGACCAAGACACTTGGTGGAGGTCTTCAGGCTAAGAAAAGTAAACAGGTTAGCAAGTCAATAATGGGAGGAAAACCTAATCATGGCAAAGGGGGATCTTCCAGAGGCTCACAGCACATAAATACTCTTGAAATGTTCCCTAAAAGAAGTTAGTGGTCAGAGTTCAAACTGCTTCATGAGGATTATTTTTTTGTATAAATGTATAGCACTTCCTATCCCAACCAAATTCACTTTTCAAGAAATCCTGACTGGCTTTAAAATACATTACACATTTAACTTCTCGTGTGTTCTTATTGCTTATTTAGCAGTTGACCCTAAATCAGCTCAGTCTTGGCGACTGAATCTTCTATAAAGTCCAAAATTGATTTCCTGAGAGTATTTAAGGGCATGGAACAAAGATCAAACAATTACAAATATTTATCCAGGCCTTAATGTGCATTGTACTAGGTCAGTGAAGCAAGGTTAAAATAAAAGGCCACTGAAGACTTGAGCAAAACTCCCTAATGGTTCAACCGCTGTTGAGAAAGTTTCAACTTATTTAAGACTTGAACAGAAACTCTACGAGCGCAAAGACAACATTGTATTTACAGATATAACCACTCAATCTTTCTATTACTGTCCCAAATCAAAGAGGAACGT